GAGGTCGACCCGATCCCGGGTCTATCCGGATTTTTCCGGGGGGTTGTTGGACCATGGGGAACTGATTGTGTGTCCGACTCCGGAGCACTGGTTCCGCTGCCCGGGTCCCGCCTGGCTGCCCCAATTCAACCCGGGTGTCCCCGAGGTTGCTATCATCTTACCAACAGCCGAGTTGTCGCTGCTGCTGCGTGTGACGATCGGGGAAGAAGAAGGCTGGTGCGGCGTTTAGGTCGTTGGATTCGATTCGTCGATCCTTACCCAAGAATGTAGCTTTTATCACCACACAACAAGTATTTATAAGTTCCATCTGACCCGTCTTGATTCTTTCGATTAATTAATACATACCAGTCTTTTAATATAAATCTTTACCAATATCATTAGATTAATCTCGTTATATTGAGACAATTAAAAACCCCAAAGTATCTTTTAATTCTTTAAAAGTTGAATAAATAGTTCTTATTATTTAATTTTTGATTAACTTCTAGGTCGGTTTCTAAGGCGTTACAGGTAAGTTGTGCATACACACATCCTCTCCAAACTTTGCTTTTGTGGGATTCTACTGGGTTGTTGTTGTTGTTGTTGATGTTATTGTTGTTGTTGTTGCTGTTGTGTGCGCGCGCGCATGTCTCTCTCTCTCTCTCTCTCTCTCTCTCTCTCTCTATATATATATATATATATATATATATATATATATATATATATATATATATATATATATATATATATATATATATATATAATGCTTTTTAGAATGTAATTGGGATCCTATATGTTATGAATTGAACTATATTACTGCCTGATGATGTTTAATGTTACTCCTTTTTAGGAGGAGTATTATGTTTTCTCTCCTGCTGTTGTTGTGTGCTGTTGTTTTTATTACAATTCTCCTCCTTTCATCAGTTTCATGTTAATGCCTCCAGTAACGTCCCGTTCCATCTTTGGCCAGAAATAGTGCTCTCTCATCATCATGTGTGTTTTATCGGATCCGAAATGACCAGCAAGACCTCCTCCGAGAATCTCGTCAATGATCGTCTCACGCACACCGCATTTGGTTATGCAAAGCTGGTTCCCACGAAAGAGATAGCCATCCTTGATGAGGAATTCACCATAGGGCCGAATTTTACACTTCTCAAAATTGTCTTTGAAATCTTCATCCATTGCATAAAGTTCTTGCAAACACTCAAAGCCAACAAGTTTGGTACTAAGTACCGTTAGTAGTAAATGTCGCCTTGACAAGGCATCGGCTCCTTTGTTGAGGGTTCCATTGCGGTGTTTGATTGTGAAGGTGAAAGTTTGGAGATATTCGACCCATTTGGCATGGCGATGTCGAAGCTTGTGTTGGCCTTGTATATATTTCAATGCTTCATGATCAGAATGGAGGATGAATTCTTTGCTCACAAGGTAGTGGCGCCAATGCTCAAGGGCTCGTATCAAGGCGTAGAATTCTTTGTCGTACGTAGAATAGCGCCTTCTGGTATCATTTAGCTTTTCGCTAAAATATAATACCGGATGTCCTTCTTGACTTAGGACAGCCCCTATGCCAACTCCGGAAGCGTCACACTCTACTTCAAACAATTTTTCAAAACTAGGCAACGCTAACACATGAGCGTGTGTTAAACGTTCCTTAATCTCTTCAAAAGCTTTCTGTGCTCTTTGGTTCCATTCAAACTTTGGATTCTTCATCAAATCTGTGAATGGGGCTGTGATGGTACTAAAATCCTTCACAAATCGTCGGTAAAATGAAGCCAAACCGTGGAAGCTTCGTACTTGCTGTAATGACGTGGGAGTGGGCCAATTTCTTATTGCTTGAGTCTTCTTGTCGTCTACTTTAATGCCTTGACCTGAGATAAAATATCCCAAGAACTCCGTTTCTTGAGAAAAGAACTGACTTTTCTCAAGATTCCCATATAGCTTCTCATCATCTAATCTTTTAATCACCAAGGAAAGGTGATTAACATGGTCTTCTTCGCTTGCTATAGATCAAAATGTCGTCGAAATAAACTACGACAAAATGACCAATGAAAGGCTTCAGCACTTGGTTCATGAGCCTCATGAACGTACTCGGTGCATTGGTTAGTCCAAACGGCATGACTAGCCATTCGTATATCCCAAAATTTGTTTTAAATGCCGTCTTCCATTCATCACCTTCATAGATACGAATCTGGTGGTATCCACTTCGAAGATCAATCTTAGAGAAGATTTTGGATCCATAGAACTCGTCCAACATATCTTCAAGCCTAGGTATTGGGTACCTATACTTGATGGTGATTTTGTTTATCGAACGACTGTCACAGCACATCCTCCAAGTACCGTTCTTTTTGGGCACCAAGAGGGCAGGAACAGCGCATGGGCTTAAGCTCTCTCTGATGAATCCCTTGGCAAGCAATTCATCCACTTGTCGTTGTATCTCCTTGGTTTCTTCGGGATTCATACGGTAGGCGGGTTTGTTAGGGAGGGCAGCCCCTGGGATTAGGTCGATCTTGTGTTGTATGTCCCGTTTTGGAGGAAGACCTTGAGGAATGTCATCGGGAAAGACTTGGGAATATTGTTGGATGAGGTGTTTGTCTAAGGGGTGGATAGAAGGAGGGGCAGGGGCTGGTTCGGCCTCAAGGGTGTCAAGGAGAATGAACTCTTTGTGGTGTTCGTATTCGTGTTGTTCGGAGTGGAGTATGGTAGAGAGGAGGATGGGGGGGATCTTCTTTGGTGGGTGGGGTGGCCGAATGAGTGGTAGGGGGTAGGGAAGTGAGGGTGATCTTCTTTTTATTCATGAGGAATGAATAAGTGTTGGCGAACCCATCATGAAAAACTTTGCGATCAAAGAGCCAAGGTCTGCCCAAGAGAATATGGCAAGCATCCATGGGTATAATGTCACACCATATCTCATCGGTGTAGCTTTTCCCGATGCTTAATGAGACCAAGCTTCGTGAATCCACACGCAATCCTTTTCCATGATTCAACCACTGGATTGTATATGGCTTAGGATGGGGTGAGGTTTTGAGCTTTAGTTTTTCAACCAACGTTTTGGATGCCACGTTGGTGCAACTTCCGCTGTCCACAATCAAAGAACACACCTTCTTTTGAATGGTACATCGGGTGTGAAAGATGTTTTCCCGTTGTAGTTGATCATCGGGACCAGCCATGCTACTCAAGGTCCTACGGATAACCAAGAGTTCTCCTTCGT